ATAATGTGACTGCTGAATTAAACCTACTAGTGGGCAAACCCAATATACCCCTAGGAATGGTATTTTTAGCCAAATCCAAAAAATATTTTTAATAATTAAATAAATTTATGGAAATTTTCCAATCATTTCATACAAAGTATCTAATTCTAAATATTAAAGAGCTCCAAGCAATTTGATGGTATTTACTAGAGTAAAACGCACAAGTTCAATTGATTAGACCTAGTGTTATTGTTCTCAAATTCCTATGAAAGTAAATTTAACAAAAAATAGAAGATGCTATTCTTGTTCAATTTATGATAAAGATTCGCATTAATTCTAGAATTATAAAACAAAAAAAAGTGGTATAGAAGAATTCTTCAATAAAGAAAAGAATTCTTTCAATAGTAGTAGCGAGGGTAGTGTATCAAATCCAAAAACAATCTAAAAAAATGAGGGAATTAACATTTACTAAACTGAAAAACATTAGGTGGATTTCAAAAAATTTATCTAAAATTTTTAGTTGGATGTCCTTTAATTAGAAGCCTTATACTATTGGCTTTCAACTTTTGGATTTCAACGTTCTGCCCCTTTGTAAATTCCACCTAATTTTTGCTACTATATTTATTAACTAATTTTGTATAGAAAGGAAAGAAAAGATATTTTGGAATAAGGTTTGGGTAACTATTATTAGGATGATTATATTTAATCTTTCACAAGAAAATAGAGTAAATATATAAAAGAGAAACTCAGAAAATAAAGTATGACATAGGTTTTACTTGATGATTTAATAAATGAAAAATTCTAAGATTATTTTCTGATTTTTGATCATCTTCGTAAAATTAACATCCTTAATCAATTAAATCTGGATTATGAAATTCTGTTAGATGATTTCTTTAAGTACTTTTAATTATCAAACCTTTAAAAAGATAAAATAGAATAATCAGTAAAAGAAGATTATACACTTAGAAAAAACAATATAGCTTTTGGAAATATCAGATTTGTTTTCAAATAAAAGGATGAGCAACTAATTGATTTTAAATACCCTATAGGGAGATTTGAAAATAGATAATTTTGTGATTATGCTTAGCTTGAGAAGGAGTTTGCTGAACTCCTATAGAAGTAAGCTTCATTTCAAAAATTTATCAAATCTTATACTGAGCCTCATAGTGAAAGAACTATGATATTATTTCTTTTAGCAGATATTTTCCTCAACATATCAATAATTAATAATTTAAATTAGGATTTGGAAATATAAAAAAATTTAGTTGTTATAGAAAGCCTTTCAAAAATCTATCTTGAAATAACGACTGAAAACAGAGTTTGCAGTTAATGTGTGAGTATGTTTTAGCACATCCCAGTTGAATGTATCTGTAAATAATTTCAGTAAAGTTGTAATTATAATGTAGATGAAAAATTTTAATTCATCATCATCTCCTAATATTTATTAGAGCCTTAAATAGAGAAGTTAGAAGAATAATATCATAGGATCTGGAAAAGAATAATTTAAACTTAAGAAATTTAATAGTAAAAAATACACGAACCAAATGAAAAATTACAAAGAAAATATTGAAACAAAACAATAAGAAGAAACTCCAATAGAATTACTTGTTCAATAAAATCTAAACATCATAAAGGATTAAGATTTTTTTATTTGCTATGAAGAGCAATAACCTACAGGATTAGTTTCTCTTTTATTATTAAATGAAAGATATCGTAAATAAAATTGTGTTAATTTCAAAGGGAAAATTGATTAAATCAAAATTACGAATACCTTTTTCTTAAGTATTGGAAAAAAAGAATCCTCCTAATAAAGTTCAAAAGGTAGTTAATAAATGTAAGCTGAAGAATTCATCCCAAAATCATAAAAATCATAAAAGTAGTATGAAAATAGATTGTATCTTGATTTATTATGTTATCAAGATCAATTTGTGAATGTTATTAACACTTTATCAAACATTTAATAATAGAAACAATTTTTAGTTTAGATGCTCCAAAAAACTTTTAAAACATAAGAAAATCTAATATTAGAAACTAGATCTGAATTTTATGCCTTGATAATAAAGAAATTTACCTCTGACTTTAGTGAGCTAAAAACAGAATAATTCAATTTATCTACCATTTTGAATTTATACTTGGAAATTGGATCGCTCAAAGCTTTCAAAGGCACTCATACAGATTTTATTGGTTAATTAAAGAAAGAATTATTACTAAATAGCATAATTGATTGTGGAGAATTTAATATGAAATTATTTCTCTAGGATTATTAATTCTTAACAGAAAAAATTACTCCCGAAATTTCAGAGGAAATTGGAAAGAAAAAAAAAAGCAATAAATAGGAAATTAATTTTTGTTCAGTGAAAATTTATGGTTTGGAGGAATCTGGAGAATTTTTAAGAATTGCAATTATCAAAAAAGGTGATTAGTGCTTTTCTCTATTATTATCAATTGAGGAATAAATTTAATCAATAGACAAGAAATTTAAAAATGTTATAATTTTGATTTTATCAATAAAAGGGATTAACTAATAATGCAAAGACACAATCAACAATAAAATTCTAAGTCTTTATCCCTCCGCAATTGAACTTAAATACTTTTCTATTAAATAAAAGCTAGACAGACAAATGATATAATTAAAATAGGATTCGTCTCAAATCTCAGAAAAAGAATGGGATATTTTAGATATTGAGTTTTTTAAATAAAGATATGCTCAATAAAATGAAGGTTTATTTTTAACTTATGAAGAACTCAGTAACAAAATGGATGAATAATTGTTTAGCTTTAAATGCTAAGTAAAATTATTAATGTATTATTTTTAGATCCACAATTGAATTTGGACCAGTGAATCATATAGAAAAGGATATATAATAAAATATCAACAAAAACGAAAAATTTTTCATATTCCATAAATTTTCAATTAATATTAATATTATTAATTGATTGGATTCTTTACTATCCAATCATAAATATAAAATAGTTGAATAAAAAAACCTAAAAATTATCTTTAAAATTTTTTTCTTTAAAGTCATTTAAACTCAAAACTTGCTAAATCTCAAAAAGGCTAAATTTTAGGTTTTATTCAGTTTATAAGGTTGGTTCATTATTTTCGCTCTTTATTTTCTTTATTACTTTTTACAATAATTTTCTTTTTCTATTCAGTATAAGAGTCAAAAATAAAATATTAGTCTTTTTTTTCATATTCCTAAATACACAATTTTTATTCTAAACAATTCTGATCATTATGTAAGATTAATATTTTATGGATTCAAGTACTCAATAATTGATAAAAATTTAATAAAAAAGTTGAATTATTATAATTTATAAATATATTAAAATATGAAGTTCCATTTTGGATTAAGTTTATTAAGTATGTAAAAAACATACTTGCAATCACAACAACAGAAATTGAATAAAGATATCCATCTATTTCAAAACCTTCTGCGACTATAATAATGAATTTTATTTTTTAATGTAGTTGGAACCAACAACCCTAATTTTTTAAAAATAATTTAAAAAATGATTGTCTTTTAAAAGAAGTTATGCAAATCTCTTCAAATGATGGATCACAAAATTAGATGCACAATTAATTGGTGTATTTGTTAACAAATCATTAGATAAAATAAGAATTTATAATTGCTTAAATATCACAATTACCTTGCTTGATAAGGAAGAAATAAAATATGAATTGTATAATTAGAGTGTCAAACCAAAAACTGATATAAGTACAGAAATCTAAGTAATAATATTGTGATCAAATGACTCTCACTCCATGGTGAATGTGGAAATTTCATTTTCATTATTGCGATGAATAGCTTTCATTAATTTTTTGTTTTTATCTTATTAAACTTTCAATCTCTCAACAGTTTTTCTTCCAAATTGAGGATAATCTATTAATGAAATTCTTCTGATTCCTTGCTTAATTGGTTACAAGACTCTCTCTTCTGTTTGAACTCTAATTCCACGACGAAAACCCTTTTCAATTAAAGATTGAAGTGGCTGATTTCGCTAAAGCATTCCATTAAGTATAAACATTTTAAAGCGATCTAATCTGTTATATCGAAACTTTGCAGCCAAATTCACTAAATCTTGATAATGTTGGTCTTGTGTAATGATGTCATAACAATCGAAGTGTTGATGTTTGCGTTAAGGCAACTGTGATATGCTTCTTTATTTAGTATAGTAATCAACATCAGTTGACATATATGAATAAAATTAAATAAACTGAATAACACCTTCAATCAATAAAAAAATGTTTGCTCATTAATGACACAAAGGACAAACTCAAAATACCTCCTGAAGAAATGCTTAAATAAACTCAAACCATTCTAAATCAATCTAAATAAAAAGTTCAATTTCGATAAGACCCTAAATTCATTGATTCAAAAATCAAGGTACAATAGCAACTCAAAGAAAGGCAATAAAACTTCAATTAAAAGTATATTCAATTAGAAGCTATTATGGCATCAGTTAATGAAACTGATTTTGTTGAATTCTAATTGATAAACTCAATGATGCCAAAACTTAATATTAAATATGATTAAATCAATCAATATAAAGTTGCACTTTCTATGAATAATAAAATAAACTTCTCCAGAAAATTTTCCAGGAAACCATCTTAATTACAAGTAACTAAAATCAATGGATAATTGTTGGACGATTATTAATAGCAAATATATAAAATCTTTAACACAAAAGAATAAATTCATTTTATCTTTAAAAATGAAATGGAGTTGAATATTAATATAATACCTTATCAAATTAGAAAATAAATTTACAGAGAAGACAAAAATATATATGAAGTTTAATTAATTGAAAATTAAATAGAAGAAGAATAAAATGAATAAGAGTTTGTTGAATAACAAGTAAAAATTGATTAGCATTTCAAATTTTCATTTCTAAATAGAATCTAATAATTCAATCTTATGCATAATCAGAATATACCTTCTGCATTGACCCGTTAATACAATATTTACCTAATTCTTAGAGAATTAATTTTAGATGCTTTAGATTATAATCACATAAAATCTATCAATATAATTCAAGATTAAATTATAGAGCATAATTTGCCATCAAAAGCATACAAAATTCAACACAATTCAAATGAATCAGAATTTACTGAATAAAGCTCTGAAAATAAGATGAAGTAAATAGAGAAAAAGGTCAAAGCTTTAGCAAGTAAATTAAGAAAACAAAAAAAACAAGATAGATCTAAAACATTAGAGCATCTACAATATGTTACAACTGAACAATTAAAAGATTATAGAGTTTAAATGATACCCCATAATTAAGGGTATCAAGCGCAAAGGGCAATAAAGGATCATTTAAAAGAGACTACAAATATTAACTTGTAAGCAGGATCAAAAATGGGTAAAGGTGGAATAGATAAATTGCAAAAAGGTGAGTATTTTTTGAAGTAAAAAGGTAAATCTTAAGAATTTCATATTTGTTGGTTAGAACAAAGAGGATTTCATTTGGTTTGGTATCATATGAAAACTGATAAAGTGGCAAGAGGTATAGGTTAATTAGATGATGTATTAATTAAGGATGAAGGATCAATATATGTTGTTAAGTTGTTAGATAGATCATTAACAATAAAGTTAGAAAAACCTTATGTAGGATAAATATGGAGAAAATCTATTTCTAATTAAATAGCTTATAAAATGTATTTAAATAATTTATGGATGATTTGTAGATTGTTTGACAAATCTCCTTAAATAAGTATGATGGATTATTTTTTTAATGAAAATCTTACAACATTCAATATATCTAATAATGCTTTACAAATAGAAGGTATTTCAAATGCATTGCCTTTATGTTACATAACTAAATACACTTAGATAATATTTGATAGTCTGATGAACCACAAGATATATTAGTTGAATTTATCTAATAGTCAATTAGGTCCGATTGCAACTATACAATTAATATAATACTTTAAAAGAAACAAAAATAGATTAAAACTACTTGATTTAAGTAATTGTTAATTGACAACTTTGGTTGTGAAAGAGTTTGGTAGCTTCTTGTTGAATCAAAATTCATTTACACTAAATCATATATATATGAATGATAATTAAGGAATTGGAAATGAGGGAATAGATATAATAGGAAATGCGATTTAATAAAGATATTTACAATTTTGGGATAACAGTGCAAACAATTTAGAAAGTCTAAGTCCAGGATATAGAAGACACTAAATTTCAAAGAAGGCAGATTCAATGGAATTAGAATTGTTAACATTAATGAATTTTAAAAATGTAGGGGCAACTAATTTTGATGATTTATTTAATGCAATAGGTGTAATGTTTAAGAAGGCATTGGAAATTCCATCATTAGAAAATGAGTTATTCAGTAATAAATAACAGACACTATCAAGAATCATAAAAAAATTAAAGAATAAGACTGGTTAATACAATAGATACAATCTATAGTTGTTGAAAGATTTTTATGAAAATTAAATGGATCCTATTATAGAAATAATAAAGATTCAATTAGATGTTTCTGAAAATGCAATTTAAAATATCGAATAACTAGGGGAATTGATAATTAAATATGATTGTTTTAGGAGTATTCATTTGAGTAATCTGGAATTAGATGAGTTATTGTAATTTACAGTTTGTTTAAAGGATTCAATATCTTTAGAGTTGTTGGATGTAAATTGTAATAAAATTAGTGATATTCAAATCATTTTGGATAGTTTGAATAAGAATACGAGTATCAAGACTTTGATAATATCATAATAATATATAGATTTGGAGAGTTAATTTGAGAATTTGGGAATGAATAATCAATAGTTTTTTATAGCAGATATTCAATTATTATGATATTAATTATAATATGATTTTTAATTTTTTTGGCAAGGTAAATCAAAAGATTACATGGATTGTAGGTATAACAATAGCTACAATTGGAGGAAGCTTGTTATTTTGGAAGAGACAACCAAAGTTAAATTAAGAAAGTGATCTATCTGAGAACTCACCAGAATTTATAGAGGCTGCTAAAAAAGGCAGAACTTTAGTAGGATTAAGTTAGCCAGATCAATTATGGCTATACTGTTTATACAAATAAGCAACTGTGGGTGATTGCAATATTCCAGAACCTATGCGATTGCATCTCTAAGATCATGCTAAATGGACAGCATGGTCTAAGTGTAAGGGAATGAATAAAGCAGATGCAGAAAAATTATATATTAAATAAGTGTAAGAATACTTAGAAAATGGAGTTGAATGCGATACTGGTAGTGCTTAGAATTCGTAATTTGGCATGAAAGTTAGTACAATGAAGAATGCAGAACATGATACTAATGAAGCATTCATTGAAAAGATTAATAAAACAGGATAAACAATTGAATAAGTTTTTGAATTAAATGAAAAGGAATAATAAATATTTTAAGAGATATTAGATTCCCTTCATAACAGTGATAGATTAATTGAATTATTGAAAATTCACAATGAAGTGAAATATTTGAAATGTGAAAATGAGTAATAAATAAAATTGATTCATGTTGTGGTAGATGATGATAATATTGAAGCATTAAAATTATTGATTCCTTATTATAAATAGCATAATTTAATCAACATTTAAGAAAGTGTATCAGGAATGACAGCTTTACATTATGGTTGTCTTTCAGGAAATAAAGATATTGTTGAATTGTTATTAAAAAATGGGGCTGATCCAAAAATAAGGGATTTTTCTGGAATGGATTGTTTTGAAACGATAGATGCTGAAAATAAAGAGTGGTTAGAATAAATGTGAATATTAATTGTGATTATAATAATAAATTTGACACGTATATCTAATGATCTCCAATGAGTTAATAGGAAATAGCAAAAGCATTTGATAGTGGGAAATTCGAGGATAAATTGAAAGTAGAAAAGTAAATTAAATAATTAGGCATTGAAATCCCTTGTAATTCAGATTATACATGATGAATAGATGCCTAGAATGGTAATCTTTGTCAGATGAGACACATTCATTAAAAAAGATTCTACTTTTCTATTGGGAAGTGATAGAAAAAACTCATCCAAATGGTTCATTAAAGGAGGAGATGATCCTTGTATGTAATAGTTTAAGAAAAGATTTATTACATCCAAATGAATACATTAGAGGAAGAACACTAAAACTTTTGAGCAGAATTTAATTGCGTGTATTAATGAATTAATAAATTAGGGAATATTGGAACCATTATAAACAGCAATAGTAGAGAATGTAAATCACAAACATGTATATGTAAGAAGGAATGCAGTAGTATGTTTATATGAAATATTTTTAAACTTTGGAGACGATTTAATTTCAGATCTGGATGAACTTATGGAGAAATTGTTATTGAATGAAACAGATTTATCTACTAAAAGAAATGCTTTTCTATTATTATTTCATGCTAATCAATAAAAGGCTCTTGATTATTTAAGCATTAATTATTCAGATGATAGTAATTAATTTGGAGATATTTTATAATTATCCATTTTAGAACTATTTAGGAAAGTTTGTAAAAAGGATCCTTAATAGAAACCAAAATTATTAAAATCTATTTATTAATTTTCAAAATCAAAATCAGCATCTGTTTAATATGAATGTGCTAATACTCTTTTTGCAGTATCACCTAGTTTAGCTTCTTTAAAAATAGCAGTTTAAATTTATATGTAATTGATTAACACTTAGACAGNAGTAATTAATTTGGAGATATTTTATAATTATCAATTTTAGAACTTTTTAGAAAAGTTTGTAAGAAAGATCCTTAATAGAAACCTAAACTATTGAAATCTATTTATTAATTTTCAAAGTCAAAATCAGCATCTGTTTAATATGAATGTGCGAATACTCTTTTTGCTGTATCACCTAGTTTAGCCTCTTTAAAGATAGCAGTTCAAATCTACATGTAATTGATTAACACTTAGACAGACAATAATATCAAATTAGTAATATTGGATAGATTAGAGGCAGTAAATTAATTGAATCCTAGAGTCTTAGAGGATAGAACTTAAGATTTATCATAATTACTTAATCAATAGAGTATTGACATAAGAAGAAAGGTTTTAAAGTTATTTTAATTGAAAAATGAAAATGTTGTATTATTAGCTCAATCATTATAAAAAGAATTCTAAAAGTGTTAGAATTTAAATGATTAATCAGAATATAAAGTTTTAATGTTACAATTAATAAATCCAATGATTCATAAATTTCCTTAAGTTCATGAAGTTGTAGCTTAAACATTTATAGATTCTATTATTTGTAATCATAAAATGGATGTTTAATTAATTTAATTGTCTGATTAACCAATTCAACATAAAATTGTAACAGCACTTTCTAATTGTTTTTTGGATATTCATCATATGGAATTATATAAAGCAACATTTACAGTTCTTGATAGTGTTAATCCAATAAAATCATTTAATTAAATAAAAAAAGCTATTGGAAATCTACCTCTAGAACATGAAAAGGTTGTTGCAAAATAAGAAGATGAAAATAAATAAGTTGTAAAAACAGTTATTTTACCTGATGGTACTTATGGAACATAAGTTGTTGAAAAGTAAGACACTGAAGAACATGTATCAAAATTAAGAGAGTTATTAATGTAAAATTCTTTTTTAGCATCCTCTTTAAGTAGAGCCTTTATAAAATTGTTATCCAAAATTTAAGAATTTAATAAATACTCTAGTTAGATGCTCTTAATTTTCTGTTCACTCTTACGTTATTATCAAAAGAACACTGCTAAAATTGATTAAGACACTTTAGAAACTATTACTTCAAGTATTAGAATTTTAACTGGTAAAAATCCACAAGAAAAATTATAAGAATTATATAAAAAATCTGATATAATTGTTGAATAGAATAACTAATTGGGATCTAATCAAAATTATGACAAAATTCTCAAATAACCTGATGATCCCATTATTATTAGATAATTAAAAGGAATTTCGGAATTTAATGAAATTGATTTAGCAGATGATGAAACATCTGTAACAACTAAATAAGAAGAAAATACTTATGTTTCTAGATTAGGACATATAGTTTAATTAACTGGATATTGTGATCCTATTTATGCTGAAGCATTTGTTAATGTTCATAAATATGATATACAATTTGAAGTTCTAATGGTAAATAGATGGTCAAAAATGGTTTAAAATGTATAAGTTGAATTTAGAACTTAAGGAGAAAGCAAAGTTATTGAAAAAGCTTAAGGTGTTATCTTACAACCTAATCAATCTGCTAGAGTTAGAACAACCATTAAATTTTCATCTTAAGATATTGGAGTTGTATATGGAGCTATTCATTATGAAAATAATGCAGGAATAGAATAAGCTTACTTAGTAACAAAAGAAATCAATGTTGATTTAATTGATTTTATTTTACCTGCTACAATCTAAATTGAATAATTCAGAAAATTGTGGGCTAAATATGAATGGGAAAATAGAATTGTTATTAATACTAATTATAAGTAAATATATACATATATTTATTTAGTGATCCTTTTAAATATGTCTCATTTTTAGAAAAATAATTAAAAGCAAAATCTATAGAAGAAAATCATCCTAAAGGAAATATTATATGTGTTAATATGTATGCTAGGACCAAATTTAGTATTCATTGATTATTTATATGTAGATGATGAAATGTAAGCACTGAAGTTATTAATGATAAATTATAAGGGTTTGTGAGAGTTAGAAGCAAGGTCAAAGATAGTGTAGTGTATCTAAGAGATAAGATTAAAGTGTTATAAACAAAGATTGAACAAATACAGATATATAATTTTATTTAACATCAAATTATCAAATAATCATTTATAATAATAATTCATTAACACATTAATTAATGTCGAAACTTAAAAGAGGATTAACTAAAGATTTCGAAAAGGAACAGGAAGATCAAGCGCTAGCAAAAGAAGAATTGTTTTAAGTATTACTGATATCACCATAATAATAAGCCCGTTGTATAAATTTATCAAGATTATCAATATTTATCAGAAGAATAAATAGATGTTATTGCTAAAATACTTCAGGTTATTGATTTTTTTAAGGAAAATTGTCCTGACACATAAACTTTAATGGAATTTACTAAATTATGTTGCCAAAATCTCATTTATGAATTCATTCCCAAAGATTCTCCTGTATTCATATTGGTAGATATTACCATCATATTTAGATGATGTTGGTGATAAATTTTATATAGTATTGAGTGGTAGAGCAGGAATCTATATAAGAAGATAACCAGCATCTATTGAAGCTGATGAGGCTGCTATTTAACCAAGAATTTTAAAAATGATAGAAAAAATGCATTTAGAATCTATTTCTCAATTATAAGGAGAGGAATTGATGAAATTTTATGGTTAAGTCATTAAAAAATAGGCTAAACCATAAAAAGTTATTGATTCTGAATTAATATTATTTCGATCAGGAAATTTTGATAAATATTTCACCAACTAAGGAATTTGTAAATTTATGTTAGTTGCTTAAAAATAATCTGGTACAATTTTTGGAGAAATGGCATTAACTAATGATAAACCTAGAACTGCCAGTATTTTTGGTTTAACTGATCTGAAATTATTATCATTATCAAAAGCTAATTTTAAGGTAATTTTAAGATATCAATATAGTAAGTGGGAGAAAAAGGAATGAAAGCATTGCAATAAAAGATAGACTATTTTTAAAAAATGTTTCCACATATGACGAAACATAAAATGTCTAAACTTATTTTGTATTTTTCATCTGCTAAATTTCCAGCTAACTTTTTCATTTGGAAATAAGGAGATGAAACAGATGGATTCTTATTATTAAAAGATGGTGAAATGTAACTATTATAAAATGTTGAATTTCCAAAACCAACAAGCCAAAATAATGTAGATTTTACATTAATGTGTTTATTCCAAAGTTCTAAACAGGAAGTTAAAGAGATTAAAGAAACTATTATATTAACTAATCTAACAGGAGGATGTTTTGTTGGAGAAACAGAAGTTGTCTAAAAAAAGGAAAAAAGAGATTATTCTGTTAAAACATTGACCATTTGTAATTGTTATTGTCTATCGTTAGAAGTAAAATATTATTTTAATTATTTTTGAGAATTATCACATAGTGAGAAAAACATTTCCTGAATTTTTTTAAGCTCTAAATTCTTTATAACTAAGAAATAGCTATCTTTTCAAAAAAATAATTGAAGATATTGTAAAGACAAAGAGTTGTAACTTTTACCTTACAAAAAAGGAAGAAGCGTTAGCTGTTGAAAGAAGATATGCAAATGAATTTAGTAAAGATGAAGCTAAACCACTCTTGTCATCTCCTATACTTCGTTCAACATTTTAATCAAAACTTTCAAAGTAATAAATGGTTGAATAAAATAAATCAATTATTGATTAACATACTAAATTGGATGAATAATTTGGTGAAAAATAAGAAGAATTCAATATGTTAAAATTGGCAGGAGATAATTTCTAAAAATGTCTTCTTATAAGAGTAGAAAAATAATTTGAATAGTTTTAGCCAGCAAAACCAAAGTAAATATGATATTTTTATCATGTAGATCCAAAACTCCCTATTTTAATAAATAAAATAACACAGCCAAAGATTTATTATAATCAGTTCGTCGTAGATAATTTCCTTCATTTGCTACAAATATAGATTAATTATCTGCAAGATAATCTAAAGAAGAAGATTCTTAATAATTACCGTTAATAAAAGTAGCTAAATAACATATTAGAGTTGTAAATCCAAACATTTCATCAAAAGTAGATATTATAAAATCAAATTATTAATCATTTATGAAATCAAAATCAATGAGTTCTAAATTAGATAGATTATCAGAAAATTAATTGTAAGGATTTATGTTGACAGATTCTATAAATACTTATCATCCATTACATAGTTTTCAAAATAAAGATGATTAAACAAAGAATTAAAAAAGAGTTAAAACCTAACCTAAAGTTGACTCTGATTTAAAAAAATCAATATTATGAATTGTGATATAATTGTAAATTTTATAAAATTTTCAATATTCTATTAAAAAATTATAATAGTTTTACAGATATTAAATTTCGTATTTAATTTAATCAAGACAATATTTAATTATTATGAAATAAAAACTCTAACCAAAGAATGAACTAGAACTTGAACTTGAATAAATAATTAATAGAGTTAATGATTAGTTGAAAGAAGCAAAAAACTTTCTTAAAGCAAAACCAAATATCATTTTATTGGTTGGTACTACAGGTAGTGGAAAAAGTACTATATATAATTGGTTGATTGACGCGAAATTCAGTTTGGAAAAGGAAAATTATTCTAAACTTTTAAGGGCATCACATGCTACAAAAGAAATTTCTAAAATGAGCGATAAAACTGTTTCAGAAACTAAGTTTATAAAATACGATTATGTTGAGGATCTTAACCATGTAATTATTGATTTTCCAGGTTTTTAAGATACAAATGGATAAAAAGATGATTTGCAAACAGATTTAGTGTTATATTAACTTTCATAAAATACACCAATTTAAATTATTTATGTTCTTGAATAATAAGGAAATTAAATTTCAAATAGAGCAAGCGATTTGTAAAAATTTGTTTAATCCGTAAACTTTTCAGAAAACATTCAAAGTCAAGTAAGCATTATTCTCAATAAATATAATGAAGATTTAAGTAATATAGAACTTAAGAATTGTTTTATTGAATAACTGAAAGCTTGTGAAATTTTTCAAGAAAAATAACCATAAAATATTTTTACCATCAAAAAGATTAATTCAGAGGAGAGATTAAAAAATGAATTCTCAGTTCAAAATAGGGAGGCTTTTATTGATTTTGTGAAATAAACGTAAAAAATAAATTTGAAAGAAAAAATTCTAACGAATACAGAAATCATAAGTTAATACATAAATGGAAAAAAAAATTTGATTTAAGTTTCTTTTCAATAGATGAGAAAATAGCTTGTATAAATGATGAAGGATAACTTTGATTAATTTGAAATTGCATTTAATAATAATTAAATATAGAAAGAAATCAATAGCTTAAAAAATGATTTTTATTTTACATAAGCGACTTTATTTGAAACAATCGATAAAATTTTGAACATCTCCAAAGAAATTTGGAACAAATTATAAAAAAACTACCAAATTTTATTTGATTTTGAAGAATATTCAAAGTTTAAAAAGGTTTTTGAGTGTTTTTTTCCATTTTAAAATTAAATTTCAAGTTATGATGAGTGCAATAAAATGAAAAATATTTTATTGTAGGATTTTAATGATAGCATAGATTTAATAAAGGATTTTATCAATTAAGAAAAGATTAGGAAAAAAGAAGCTGAAGAAAAAATAAAACAAGATTAAATTAGAAAAAAATAAGATGAATAAAGAAGATAGGAGGATTTAGAAAGAAAATAATAGGATGAGTAAAGGAAAAAGTAAGAAGAAAGAAGAAAATAAGAAGATGAAGAAAGAATAAAATAAGATTAATAAAGAAATATAGATAATGAAAAGAGAAAATAAGAATATCAAAATTTATAGTAAAAATTGAATATACTTGAAAAATAATCTCAAGATAGAGAAACACAATTAATAATATCTTTTGAGAACAAAATTAAATAATAAAGTATAGAAAATGAAAAAAAAAATGAAGAATGGAGATAATAATAATAATACAATTTTAATAAGGAATTAAAAAACTCTAAAGAACAATTTTAAAGGGAAATGGGAAATCAACAATAGCAAATATAAAAATTAAAAGAAAAAGAAAGTTAACAAGAAGAATAGAAAAGATAATAATTAGAATTGTAAAAATAACAAATGATAGCTTAAAAAAATGAATTAGAGTTGCTTAAAAAAAATATGGAGGAATAGAAATTACAAGCTCTTGAAGAAAGAAAAGATTTTGAAACAACAATGAAAAGAATGAAAACTTAAAGTTATTAACAAGAGAAATCTAGTGATTATGTAGGTAATGGAGCAACAATAGGAGCAGTGCTTGGCACAGTTGCTGTATCTGAAGTAATCGCTGGTTCTGCTGCTTTGTTAGCTGTAACAGGACCAGTAGGTTTGGTTGTAGCTGGACCTGCATTATTAGCAGGAGCAACTGTTGTAGGAATATCATCATTAGCTGGAGCAGCAATTGGAAGCATGATATCATGAATAATTGATTTAGAAGAATTTATGATTTATTCTAAATAAATAAATAAGCAATTATAATTTAAATTGACTTTCTTTCATTCTTTAAAAAAAATTTTAAAGGATAAAATACAATAAATCATTGTTAGAATAATATTTTGATAATTGATTATCTCTATTAATTTTTGATCTACTTAAAATAATTTTAAAATTAATTATAAAATTGATTTATAAAATTAATAAATCATTAATACTTTTTTTTTAATTTTTATTTATTCTGATCATTCTTTATATAAAGAAGATGATAAAATTAATTATCGGATATTAAGATATTCAAATAATAAAATATATTAAATATATTAAGTTTAAGTTAATAATCAACAAAATAACAAACTTATTAAAAGATATATAAATAATGTTAATATATAAATTTTAATATAAAAATAAATATTCTTACATTAATAAAGAATAATTAAATAAAACATTTTTCTACAGAATGGGAATAATAAAGATGAGTTTTGCTATTGGTTTTACAGCCTTATGCTTTTAAGCATTAGTTTTGTATCCTTGTCATGAAACAATCTCTGAGTAAGTACATAAATTAGAGGACAACATTACAAGATTAGAATAAATGGAAGTAGAACTAAAAACACACATGGAAAAGAATCAAGATTTAATTAAGTAATAAATATTGAAGAATGCAAAACATATCTGATGTGATTTGATACATATGTGTGTTATGATATATTATAATAAAAATTGATATCCTAAAAATAGTAGCAATAATATAAATAATGTTAAAAAGACAATTTTATGAATGATTTTGCATACTTATTTGAGATAGGTGAAGCTTTGGTTAATGGTTAGATCTAAAATTAGAATTAAACTAAAGATTTCTAGAAATTAATCGAAAAAATCTTCCTTCAAAGCATAAAAATATATTGAAGAGAAATTAATTATTAAATTAAACTAAACTAAACATAAATCATGGTTCTTCCTAAAGTGAATATGTTTGTAGGACTTTGCGCATTGAGCTTTTAAGCTTTTGTGCTTTATCCCTGGCATAATGTAATATCAGAATAAGTTGAAAAATTGGATAAAAATATTCGAATATTAGAGATAATGCAATAATAACTTGTTAAGGAAGCTGAGCAACTACAAAAATTCAACCCAATTTGATACATATTCATAAATTTCTTATAATATTATAATACATTCATTATGGAATCTATTTTTAGATATAATACAAATAAATTTATTTGGGTTGTTAAAATCGAATTTTGATAAGTCAATTCTATCACTATTATTTTGTTTAAAGTAAAATCACATTATTGAAGTAGGAAGAAGAAGATTTATAAATACTTCTAATTCTGATTGATCAATAATATAAGCATATATAAAATATACTTATTTTTAATTAAAAGCAAATTATAGAATTAAGAAAGCTTAATTTAATACATCTAAATTTAGAATTGGAGTAAAATAAATAAAAGAGAATGTTTAAGACAATAAGATATTTTATATATTAAGAGAAAGAAAATCTGTTCGACTAAGATTTAAAAAAAGAATATATATAATATTAGTAATAATAAGAAAGAAACCCAGATTTGTGATAATATATATAATTAAGTTTATGTTATATAATTAGTTATTATTCAATTTATAATAATAATGAATAAAGGAGAATAATCCCAATATTTATTAGAGCAAAGTAATAATACGAAATCATTTGTTGATAGTAAGTATATTAAATTGATAAAGACTCTTCTCCAAACAAAAGTTTAGTGCAATACTCAATAATTTAGGCAGCACTTGAATTCAAAATAAAGGAACATCCAATCTAACCAGGAGAATTAATAAATAGCTCAATAGTTGAAGAGGCCCCTCGTTTTTTGGAAAGAGGAGCAAACTATTCATCTAAGATGCATGACAATGAGAATATACTGTTTAATAAGCAAAAGCCAAGTCAGAGAATGAGTCATGTGTATCCATCATATATGTCTGATAATTCTATATAAATTGATTAAGACAAAATAGAAATGATAGAACATACTTATTCTGTTGAATAGATATAAAAGATTTTGAAAACAAATATTAAAGAAGGATTAAGTGATTAATAAGTTTAAGAGAAGATTTCAAAGTTTGGTTTAAACAAAATTACAAGTAAGCATGCAAATGTGTCATTAAGAGAATTGTTCAATTTATTTACATTAGCATTGTTGATAGTTATTGCACTTTCAATAGTTGGGTATTTATATGATGAAAAAGAACATATTTCATTTCTAATAGAAATTTTATGTCTTATATCAGTTCTTATATTTACACATATAATAACATTTACTTCATATTTAAAAAAGAAGAAACTATTTTAATAATTTAATCAAATCATATCAAATGATGAAGTAATCGTTATTAGAAATGGATAAAAATAAAAAATATCATCGGAATAATTAGTCAAAGGAGATCTTATTGAATTAAATTCAAATTATAAAGTACCAGCTGATTGTAGAATCATATTATCTTAATAATTAAGTGTAGATAATTTTATTTTTACTGGAGATTGTTAACCAATATTATTAGAATCAGAGGAAAGCAATCATAAATCAATATTTGAGGCAAGAAATGTTGCTTTTTTAGGAGTAGGTTGTGTATTTGGAGAAGGCAGAGCAATCGTTATAAATACTGGGAATTAAACTATTTTAGGAAAATTAGCTAAAAAAATTGATGTTCCAATATCAACTTCATATATTGATTATCAAGTTAAAAAGTATTTAATCTTAAATTATTAAGAATTATATAGATAACGACCTTAATAATATTTGCATTCATTATTATAACAATAATTGGATGGATATTTCAAGAACATGGAAAATATGATTTCACATTTCTTATTAACACAATTATTATTATCATTTTATCTAAGTATGATGAGATATTTAATATTTAGTCTACCTTTTACATTAATGTTATTGATTTCCTATTCTAAAAGAAAAATTATATCAATCATGCAGGATTAAAAAATATTATTGAAGGATGTCGATGTTATTGAAAATCTAACCCAAATGAGTTTATTACTTATCAATAAAGAAGCTTTACTAGTCTAAGCATAATAACCAAAGAAGATTATTCTTGGTAATCAAATACATCATATTAATAAAATTAAAAATTATTAAAGTATTTTCATATTTTATTAAAGACTTACTAAATTGTATTCACTATTGTATCTATTAAGAAAACTACTCATTAGAGGAATCCTATTGTAAATAAGACATTTAATAAATAATGAGAAAGTTTATTAGAGACTATAGAATTGATGATTACAAAATTATATAATAAAGGCAATTTACAGCAATAGAAAGATATTGTTTGACAATTGTCTAGAATAAGGAATTTAAATCATAATATATTGTTTTTATGATGGGTTCTCCTGAAGTCATTTAGTAAAAATTATTCAGATCAGGATCCTAAGAAGAAATTGATTATATAAGTTCTCATAGAAATTTAGCAAGAAAGGGTTATTCTTTAATTTCATTTGCTGAAAAAACCTTAATTCTAGACGAGAATTATAAATTTGATTTAGCCAATAGCAACGAATTCAATTTTAATTTGAATCATGCTACTGATTTAGGAACTATCGCCTTAAAATTGACAATCACTCCTATTATTAGAACAGTATTATAGAAATTAAATTTATCTGGAATAAGAGTTATTTTGATGTAATCTATTTACATATAAAAAGGACTGGTGATTATCCTGAAACTGCATAATATATTGCTTAAGAATCTTAATTAGTTTTTAATCCAAAAATAGTTACAGGAAGTGATTTAGAAGATTATGAATAAAATGATGAAGATTAACAATAACATTAATAAGCAGATGAAGAATCAATCAATTAAAAAATATTTGCATAAAAAAATACAATATATGCAAGAATAAATCCAGCATAAAAATTAATGGTTATTTCTGCTTTTTAAAAATAAGGATATAAAGTTGGTATGATAGGTTTTGATACTATTGATTCACCTGCTTTAAGAAAATGCGATGTAAGTTTTGCAATGAATAGATCTGATGAATTGGCTAAATAATCTTCCAAAATTATTCTCATTAGTAATTAACAATAAGAAATGGAATAAATATTAAAATGTATTTATCAAGGAAGAAGATTTACAGACAATCTGATTAAACAAATTAAATTATGTTTAAGTAATAAATTTGGTCAATTCATTCCAATACTATTAATGTTATTTGTTGGAATTCCTTTGCCACTCACCAGCTTTGGAATTTTGTATATAACACTTGCACTAGAAATCTTAGTTTTAGGAGTTCTAAATGAAAATGAAGAAGTTGACATTATAATTAGAGAACCTAGTAATGTAAAAATCTTTATGAAATTATAACATTTCTTAAGATGGATCTTAACTCATGGTGTTTTAGCTGCATCATCAGGAATGATGAGTTATTTAGTAACTATGCATTATTTTGGATTTCAAAGTAAATCATTACCTGGAATTATTTATAAAGATGGATATTCAAATCAAATATCTAATTCTACAGATTTTTACAATTTTAATTATTCTGATCCATATTTAGGAAATTTAAATCTAATCAATCCATAACAATTATAATAAAACCCTTTTATTACTTTTTAATTTTATAAGCATTTTGATAAAGCCTCTTAATTTGACTTTAGAAATGTTATTGTTTAATATAATGAGTTAAATTAATCTTGGATAACTAATTTTATAACTAGTGATTCTGATATTTGTAAATTAAATAACTCTGATTTATGCTACTCATATTAGTCTTTGGATATTGCTTAATTAGGTTTCATTTATGGATTCATAATGTGGGGATGGCTTCATGTTTTTCTAGGTAGAGTAAGGATTTTATCATTTAGATATTAGAAATTAAACAAAGTATTTATATATTAATAAATTTTTGTAGAAATTAATTTACTCATATTTAATTTCACTATTTTTAGTGTTGCTTATGTATATACCATATATGATTTATTATTTTCCTGACAAAGATATTAATTTCATCGGTGTGATAGGGTTGCCCTGTACTCCTATTTTAATAGTGTACTTTTGTTTCAATGAAATTACTTCAAAAAGAAAATTAAAAAAGTTGAAAAAAATTATATGATCATTTTATAACTTATAAGTAATGTTGATAAGTTCAAACGTTGCATCTATTTCTATATTATTATACATTGCACATATGCCATACTTAATCCACCAGTGTTTATTATGAAAAGTTTTCATACATCTTGAATGTATCCATAGGTAAAATGTCTGGTTCAAAAAAGAAACCATAAGCAATAACAGCAGTCATTGCTATGAATGCAATAGCAGTATTCGCTTTTCTATGATTATAATACTTTCTTTTTAAATTAAAAAATGTTTTACCTCTAAATACCTATTTAGTATAAACATTCTGTTGCTCTTGCAAACAAATAAACTCTTAGAATATTTTGAACATGAGGCTTTTAAGTAATAAAACTTAATCCTCCTCCAATAAAACCTGAAATAGCAGCATTCCAACCATCCTCTTTCTATCGAATTGTCCTTAAAAGACATTATATACATTTTATTAAAAATGTTTAGATTCCCATAAATAAACCTAAATTTATATTAGTTCTAAGATGTATGATAGTTTTATTATACCTATTAATCAGAATATTAAACACTAATTTTATTTTGCGTTGTGATTTAATAATCTTCTTAGAACTCATTACTAACATTATGGCATTTAAGCAAAGTTTGGCTAAAAATGCTTTTGTGAATGCCTCAATCATTCCTCTTGTCATATTCATAACACAAGAATTCTTATGTTAACAAAATGGAGTTGTAGAATAAAGTAACTTGCATAAGTAGTTTAATGTATTTGATTTTCTTTACATTTTCTATAATAATAAATTTTTGTAATCATAGAAATTCAAAATATTATTTTTATAATATCAAAAGACATAGAATCAAGTTTCATCTTTTAATTCTCTTCTATACTACTCTTGTAGTTTATTTTCTTATTCTTTTTGAAATTATTTCCTAATTGTTTTATGTTTCTACTTTCTTCTTTCTTCCACAATTTCTTTTTCTTTCTAATCTTTAATTTTATAATTGTTTCATTTAAAGTATTTCTTCTTTTAATAATTCTTCATCTCTTTTCTTCTTTTCAATCTCTAAATCTTGTAAATAATTATCTTAATTATCTCTATTCCTTAATTTAGACATTTAATAATTTAAACCAAATCTATTTATTAGTTCATCAGCATAAACATTATTATTCACTTCAAATACAGTGTTTTTAAAATTCTATTGAATAGCATTAACATTTTATAAACACTATTCAACTTCTTTTAAAATTTCTTGTTTTCTAGCTTTTTAAGGTAAAAATATAATTTATTTAAAACAATAATGTTTAAACTTTTATTGTACCTCAATCTTTTGTTTAATATCACCAGACCAATTGGTTACTATTATGGCCATTCTTTATCTATCTAAAGGATAAAGTTTTTTAATCATATCTAATACTTTTTTATTCATTGTATCAGTTCTTTAATACTGTATAAAAATAAAAAAAAAGTGGATTGAATATTTTGAGAAATATTCTCTATAAGGTATGATTTTATCATCTTCATAGAGTTCAAACTCCATTATTGGGCAATTGTGAAATATGAATTATTCTGAAATGACTGGACTTTATGTAAATTATTCAATACGTTTCATTCTATATTTTTTCTACTTTAAATTTGAAATTAAATTAAATATTTATGATTTTTCATCTCCTTCATTTGATAGAAACATAACTTAAATAAATTAATTTATGTTCATTATACTATGTTATGTATTATTGACAATTTTAATTTTTGTAGATTACTCAGGTTATCGTAAAGTATTAATTTGAGGAGATAGTATTTCATTTGATTTTTCGATACTTGGATATTGAATATCAAAAATATTATATTTCTTTTCATTTCCTTCCTCTTTATTTTCTTATTTATTTTATTTTGATATTTTAAAATCTATATTGTTTTGATTTGAGATTTTATAAATATGATTCAAAGCTTCTTCTTCTTCTTCAATTTTACATTTATCACTTGATTGTGATTTATAATCGATGATTGAATTAATAAGATTATCAATGACACTCAAGTAAAATACTTTATAGTAAAATTGAAAAATAATAAAACCTTATGATATAGAAAGTAAAGTAGTTCGACATATATTACATTATTATTGTGCATTGATATATGTAAGATTGTCTAATTTCAATCTTAAATAAGATGGAAATTAAAATTTTTATAATCTGTCATTTTGTTTAATTAAATAATTACATTTTTGACAATAAATAACTACTTCACTATCTGAATAATAACTATGAGGATATGGCGAGAAGTATTCTTTTTCTTTTTCTGCCAAAGCTATGATGATTTCTAATTCAAGATTAAATAAATTCTTAGGTAAAGGAATATCAGAAGTGAATAATTTGATTTCTTTTTAATGAGATGTCAATAAATATTTCATATGATCTATTTAACTCTTAAATATAGTTGATGAAATTTATTTTGTGTATCTATTCACCATAATTTGAGTAACATATTTAAAATTATGTTTGGATGAAAAATTACGAAGATGAATTAAGTCTCTATTCGTTCTTTAAATAATTTATATAAATGTTTCAGTAGCTTTAATTTCATTTAAATAAAAGATATTAGTATTTTTCTTTTGAGATGATGCTTAATATTTATTTGATTAAGATGATTAGTCTACAAGATAAAAGATATCATTTATTTCATAAATATGATTTGATATACTCTCTATATCCTAATCATTGTTTAAACAAAATATAATAGTATCCAATCTGTAGTCATAAATTTATGATATTTTAAAAATGTAGTTTAATAATTTGGGGAGCTTCTCTAAATTAGATTGATGAGGAGTTAATAATATTGATTATGATTAACAATTTGATGGTTATAATATCTACTTAGGTTAAGGTCTTATTTGATTTAATTAATTGTTCTCCTTGATATTTAATACTGTTTTGTATAAACGTTATTTTAAGTGTTAATTGTTACCTAGAAGAACATTTAGGGGAGTTAACATGTTTAATACAATAATAAATATCAAGTATTCGAAATAATAATTGATGTGATTGACCTAAATAAAGGCATGATTTTTTGAAGTAAAAGAATCATAATATTAAAGGATAAAGTATAGAAATTAAATGATGGGCACTAAATCAATAGTTCTATTAGGTTCAATAGGTAGTGGGAAAACAACCTTATTTAATAAGATATGTAATGAATAATGTGAAGTAAAATCAGGAGGATAATCAATTACAAGGTAAATCTAATATTAAGATTAAAAGAAATGTATTTCTGAAATCTTCAGCTTATGGAATGGGTTTTAGAGTATTAGATACTCCTGGTTTTGGTTCAGATACAAAGAAAATTCTACATGCAGTAGGTGTTATGAATGCTTTAAGTGAAGGACCGGTAAATGGAATCTTCTTTGTTGTCAAATGGGAAAGAATTGCATCAATGAAAATTAATATTAAAATCTTATTAGCTATATTCAGAAGATACATTGATATTGTTACTCTTGTTGTAACACATTGGGATACAGCTGATATTAAAACTAAAACAAAAGATTAAGACAATTTCAATTAAGCTATGAAAGAATATAATATTGAAAGTGTTTTGTATGTTACAAAGAGAGAATAAGGAAAAGGAATTTGTAGAAGAATTGATTAAATCTTAATTTCTAGCAAATCATAAAGAGTTAAATTAACAGATACAGAATTTTATGCTCATTTTGATTTAATTGAAATGTCAAATGAATTAGAATTAGCATTAGAAATTGCTAAAAGTGATGTTGTCAAAAATTTCTCTAAAATTGCTGTCTAAGTTATTAAATTTGTAAGAGAATTTGATGAAAAAGATAATAATTTACCAGATATTATGCATGCCTTATCTATTGAAATTAAAACTATTGCAGTTAAGACTATTGAAAATTTTGAAAAATAAAATGGAGATACTTTTTAAAAATTATATGAAAGCTTTACTGATCCAAGTATGGCTTATTTAGTAGATTTTGCATTAAAAAAAGAATTAATGGATTAAGTATCAGAAATTACAAGGATGACACAATAAAAAATGAAATCTAATAAAAATCACTTTTATCATTATATTAAAGCTTGTCCTCATTGTGGTTTAATTTGGCTAAAAGTAGCAGGCTGTGATGGATTAACTACTTGTGGTAATTTCCCAATTTCTGATTAATAGAATAATAATAATAAACAATTAAAAAATCTCAAATCTAATAAATATGTATTTGAAATCACACCTTAAAAAGTAACATATAAGATTATTTAAACTACATAACAGAAAATTAAAGATTATAAAGAACCATCTAAAGCTACTAAGAGAGGTTGTGGAAGACCTATTCTATGGTCTGAAATACCTCCATTATCAGAATAATAATTAAAAGAATTAGTTGATCCTGGAGTATTAGATTATTTAGCAAAAGAAGTACCTAAAGAAGAAAATTTAAAAAATTTAAAATTAGCTAAAGATCATTTGAAATGGCAAGTTGATAAAGCTAAAATATAATCAAAAATTAAATATTTATGAAATTTAAATATTTTACGATTTATTTTTAAAATATTTACATTCTTTAATTTTTATACAATCTTAAAATCATATATTTTATCTATCTTTAAACCTTCATATCTTTCAAAACTTTATTAAATCATTTAAGATTATCTAAAAAATGTATTTTTAAATAAGTTTAACACTATTTATTTTGGGATATTCTAATTGAATTATCTATAATTATATTTTATTCAACCCAAATTCAGTTAAGAGTATATTAGATATATAATTGTTTTAAAAAAATAAAATAAAGTTTTAGAGAATAAGTTGATAATTTTCAAAAAATAAAATTTTTAAATGAATTCTCCAACAAATCGAAACAAAGGGTTTTGATAAAAATAACTTTTATACATATAATTAAAGAAACTGTTTTTCCAACACTATTAGTTTATTTATTTAAAGAGGATTTAAAAGAAAGAATATAGAAAAAATACTTAAAGCGTTGATATCTCTTTTAATATTAAAAAAGTTAAAAAATTTATAGAAAATTAGTTAATTATTCTCTATTTTTCTACTTTTTTATGTTAAGATTAAATTTTTTCTGTTCAATTTTTTCAATTTATAATAATAATAAAATAATAATTATTTATTGAATATGGGCAGTATTTTATATATTGTTACTTAGATTTGTGTGCAAGTGTAAGAAATTCAGAATTAACAGTTTAAGATGCTTGTGAAATCATGTCAATAGCAATAGATGATAACGAAGTTGTTATTCTTTAAGGAGATATTAGAGAAACATAAAATAAAAGCATTTGTATTGCATATTTATTAATGTTATAGTAAATGCTTGTGTTGATCCTTATAATAATCTTATTCTAAAGTAATGTAGAGTAAAAACTGAGCAATGTAATCAATACTTTTAACATATATAGTAAAATTAGGTGCCCCTTAATTAATTTAATTACCAAGAGGAATCGTTAAATCTGAGTATATGATCAATCTTAAGATCAATTTTGATGAATTCTCTAAATAAGATCTCATTGAAGCTTTTGAAGAAAGGTAATAAAAAAGAATATACTTTAAAGTTTTGAGTAATTGTATTTTTAAGAAATTGATTCCATCTCATATTATGATTAATGTGAATAATACAGTAAAGAAATTTAGATGATAAATTGTGAATGTTTCATTGAAGCCTTAATAAATGAACTTCATAATAATAGACGATCTAGAAAATATAATATATATCATCCAAATCTCAATGTTTGTTTGATGTACAAAAATGAATTTAAATCTCAATATTCATCATATTGCAGAGCTAAATACTCTATGATTGAATAATAAAATTTTATATATGGAGATGTTCTCTAAACAATCCATGAAGAATTTACAGAAAAAAACTCACAGTTAGCTTTATCAATAACGAAATATTTCTAAAATTATCCATAATCTATTGAAAAGAAAGAAAATATTGAAACTTTTGTTC